AATTAAAGAAGATGCAACAAAAGGCGAAAGAGATCGAAATTGTACCGATCGGAGAAAGTCCAGAGCCTGATTCACGCTATCGAGGAGAAGGGAATTCTGAACTTAAATCTAGGTATTTATTTAATCTTATGCTTCTTTGATTTCATTCTTCATCTCTTTTCCTTTTTCTTTTCGTATCATTGTGATTTTGTGCAATTTGAAGTTTGTTGTGTAATGTGATGATAATTTGACGATTGAATCGTGATGATGTTGTTGATGCAACATTGACGATGAAGATTGATGATATTTTTATAGTATATTGAAGAATGAAAGATGGAGATGATGAACATTGCGGGAAGATTTCTAAGAGAGTGAAGATTTCCACGAATTGAAGGTTCGGTTACGAGAAGATGAAGGTTGAAGATGCTTGAAGCGTAGATTTTAGAGAGAGTTTCTTGATAGGTTTTATTGGTGAGTTTTTCTACTAATTGTTTCTGTGTGAATCTTCATAATGTCCATCTGTTATTTGTCATCCCCCTCCTTCTTCTCTTATCTTTTATTTTTCGTTGGAATCCTTCTTCCCTTTGTTTTTCTATTGTGAATTCTGTTGAGAAGTTTATTATCTCTATCTCTTCTTCGGTTACATTCTTTTTTGACAGTTAGAAAATTGGTTAGAGGATGTTAGGATATTAGAGGAAGTTCTGTTATGGTAGTTAGTTGGTGGGTTGAAACCCTATTAGTTAGGCAGTTAGAAGGGTTATGGACAGAGCTGTTTAAAAGTTGGTTAGAAAATAGTTAGGAAAATGTTAGGAAAAAGTTTAGAAGATATTAAGAGATATTAGGAAAATCCATTAGTTTTTTGTTATGGAGGTGGTTAAATTTTGTTAGAAGTGGTTAGGAATTTGGTTGAGTGAGTTGTTAGTTCTGTTGATGTTAGGAAGTTAGTTATGGTTTTGGAATTCTGTTATGGTTATTTTGCTGGAAGTTTTCCACTTCATTATGTTTTTTTTGTTATGGCAATGTTTTTGTTGATATGAAGTTTGTAAAGTCAGTTACAGTTGGAGGTTTTGTCAGTTGATTACAGGTTTTGGGATCTGTTAATTTTCTGTTAAGAAACAGCTGGAAAATTAGTTAGTTGGATATAGGTTATGCGGTTAGGAAATGGTTTTATTTGGATTAGTTTCGGTTTGGAAAGTTTCGGCTGTTGGTGACGATTTAGTTAGAGGGAGTTACAAGCTGGGTTCTATTATGAATTTGTAAAAAACTGTTATGAATTCTGTTATTCATTGTTGAGCTGCTGATTGATTAATTGCAAGGCTGCTTTTGTGTGAATGATTTTTTTTTGTCTGTGATGCAGGTCAGGTGATGAGGTTAACTGGAGAAATTTATCTGCAAGGTTGCTTGTAAGTGAAGAAGAATTTGGATGAATTATAGGAACATGGAGACAAATGGAGTTAAATTAATGAATACTTGGAGAATAGCTTTAGGATTAGGCTTAGAACCAAAACTTTTATGAATGTAAATGGATGGAACTTAGATGATGTACGTATTTGAAATTTAGCTTTGTGATCTGAATTTGAATGAGCCACCATGCTTTGAAATGGTTTTTTATAATAGAGACTTTGTTTTCAAATTTGAATTACTTTCCCTCCATTATGCTTGTAACTTGAATGAAACAATCATAAATTTAAATGGAACTTTGGCCAAAAGTTAACCCAAATTGACGTTGAACTTTATCATGGGACGCCTCGCTTCAAAACTTGAATCCAATTTGATATCTCACAAATATTTAAATTCAAATCCATTTATATGTCATGCCTAGATTTGAATAATGGGAGATGAATTAAGTGAACTTGAAGATGGCAACTTGAACTACATGAGTCTTCCAATCTTATCTTGAATCAACCATTGACAAATAATGAAATTGAGATCTTGAACCAATATTAATCTTGAGCACAATTAAAAGTTTCAATGAATCCAAATTGGCATCTCACTTCTCTCGAAATCCTAGTTAACTTGTAATCGAAGCAATAAGTGTTTGAAAGAATGATGACGTTTTGAACTCAATGAACTCACAATTTCATCTTGTGTACCATGGCTTGCATTTTGCAATCCAATCCACACTATATCTTGACTTTATGGATAACAACAATGCCTTGAGGGCACCTTGAAGTATAGAAAGAAATGTAATATGAAGCTTAATGAACCTCAGTCTATAGATATTACAAATTCACACATAGAAGATGTGACACCCTAATTCACTTGTGTTTGACGAATTCTTGATGGAGGATGACCTGGTAGCTTGATGAAGAAAAGATCCACAACATTCATGAACACAAAACCCTAATTCCACAATTTCACTACCTTGGAAAATAACTAGGAGAATCGGGCTCTATTGAACATATATACCTAAGTCAGTGGATAAAACCCTAATCCTATTCATGAACGTTGATCCAATGCTAAATGAATGATACATGAGGCATTAGCTGACCTAATGAAGGTTATATACATGAGAAATATGTGAGATGCATAAGCTAGATAAAAGTTAAAGGGTAGGAAAATTTTGGGGTATTACACTCGGCAAACCAAAAAGGTCTGGGAGAAAAATTAGGGATATATGAAAAAGATTGTACACTTGGAAAGTCGAAAACCTGAAAAGGCGGCTTGGGCAAAAAAGGGTATCCTGGTGGATTGGAAACTTGAAAGGGTGGTCTAGGCAAAAATTAGGGACTTAAAAGCATATGAGTATGTCCCGTTGGATCACTTACATGAAAGCTTTATTACCAAGGTCAAAAATTCAAATGGTACAAGATCAGGGCAATCAACTTCCTCCGATAGCAAGGGACGAGATGTTCGAAGACATAGGAGAAATAAAAGAGTTTGGAACCCAATGAGATCACTTCCACATGGCTATACATTTTGTTTTCACTTTGTACTCTTTTCATTTCACGACGACTTCCTCTTACTAGGATTTTCGTCTCTTTGTACAAAATTGCCTGTTTATAGGCAAATTATCAATACAAATACATATTAAAGTTCAAATTCTTGGTTTTTTCTGTTTTGTTTGCAAAAAAGCCAATGACTAAATTGAATGAACATATGCATATGAACATGATTAACTGTTAACAAATATACACATAAGTACAGGAATAAGCATTTACTCAAAATTCTAGGAGCTAGGATGACACTTAAGTTGTCCATAAAACCCCACAGAGCTACTTCTATGAGATTATCCCCATAGAATAATCTTCATAGATTCATCCCCACAAAGGATACATTCCCTGCAACTTCCCTATGGAGTTCTAATCAATGCACTTCATGGAAATTCTCTTCCCCAGCTGAATTCCAAAACTATAAAACCGACAGAGTTCTTCTCTCTAGCAAAATTCAATTTCTCCAAGAGAGTTTAGTTTCCTCACCAGTACCACTCTGACAATAGGGTTTATTTCCCTAACAGGGTTTATTTCCCCAAGAAACTACAATTTCCCCAGCTCGAATCTATTCCTCAGAGTACTACGAATCACTGATAAAACTCCTCTCCCCAGTGAAGTTTCCATTATCCCCAGAAAAATTGCTGTAAAACCTGGAACTAGGCCAAATATCAGTTAAATTTATCCTCCCCAGACAAGCCAAAAGGTTATCCATCTCTTTTATCCCTATTCAGGGTATATAAGAATTATCTTCCCCAGACGAGTCGAAAGGTTATCCATCTCTTTTATCCCCAGTCAGGATATATATATGAATTAAACTCCCCAATAGAGAAACAGACGACCAAGGTTCTTAAACTCTACTTCCCAAATAGAAATCAATACATCCCCTATGGAGTTTCCTCAAACAAGTAAACAAGAATCCCTATGGGAAGAATTCTAGACAAGATTGGAGATACACATACTCTTCATCCCCATCAATGGTCAGGGATTTATTTTCCCAGACAAGATATTGCACGAGTTTACAAATACACTTCAATAACATTTCATATTCATACATCATAGCATATGCATACAAAACACATATAACATAGTCTCATTTATTTTGAGAACATCATTACGCAATGCATTTCATACATAATGACATTACATACAACTAACTCTTTACCTTTTCAAGAAAGATCAATCAACAATTGAATATCACCAATAATTTTCAAGCAGGCTCTAGATTAATTCTTGAAACAAGACAGGGCAACTATCTGGATGACTAACCACAAATTAATTCCTGAAACAAGACAGGGCAACTGTCATACCCCAATTTTTGACCTAAGATCCCACCTCCCATCTGTGTCATTACATAGCAAGCGTTCACAAGCGATTCGACCCATTTTTGCCATTTTTCTCGGGTCAGATTTCAAAAATTCATAACGTCTTCGAATTTCGACATTTTTTTAGTGGTTCTTTTACACATGATTCTCCTTGATAACAACTACAACTTTCCTTTAGAAGTCAAGAGATGATTATTTGTTTGAAATGCCACGAAGGAATGAAAACGTTAGAAGTCGCTTTATAAATTTAATGAAATTTGATCATGTCTTGTCCAACCTTACCAAATCGTGCATATCGCACATTTTTTTCATTTTGTATTTTATCATTTTTGTATTATTTAAAAAAAATCTAAAAATATGTATTTTAGTTCATGTCATTTTTTTTTTACAAACGCATTATTAGAAAAATCACAAAAATATTTATAAGTAGCATTATAGTATTTTAAATTCGCAATTCTTAATACAAAAAATATTAAAAAAATTTAATATAGTTTTATTGGTTCCATTTAGATTCATGTTTTAGTATAAATTTTAATCCAAAAAAAAATATCAAAAATATAGTTCATACCATTTTACATATTGCATTTTTATTTAATTAATAATTGGATTTGAAATTGAGTTTTCATTTCTAATTATTAATTGACTTTTTTTTTCAGTTGTTTTTTGTTTCAATCATTTTTGCATTTTTGCATTAATAATCGGTTTTTGTCATTATTGTCTTACTAACAATTTGTTTCTTTTGTTACTTTATTGCTATTATTATTGTTGGGCCTTTTATCTTTTTGTCATAATAAAAAATAACAATTTTGAACTACTACTAGAGGTTCACATGATTAACACAACCTTCATTTCAAAATGTTACTGTTACATTATGCTAAAAATGGCTAAGCTAAAATATACCAAGAAAAAGAAAGACTGTTTTAGCACTAATAGAGTTTCATCCAAAACTGGCCAAAATAGTAAAAACGGGAATTACAATTGGCAAAATATGGAAGACAGGTTGCTACACTCCAAAAACTACTATGCTATGTTATTGCTGTCCACACAAGTCCAAACTACTGCTATTTGCTGCTCTAAAATCTTGCCTTGTCCCTATCTTTGAGGTCCAAATCAACCCTGTTGCAAGATGCCAAAAACCTGTCAAGCTAGGCCAGATTGCACAAAAATTGTTAAACATTCTTACATCCATAAAGCATAGATCAGAAATGCTCTTAATGGATTCAATATTTTAATCTTGAGACTATATAATTTAGAGCTTTATCACAATGAAGGAAGAGAAAAATTAAGCAAAAAATCACACTATACTTCCTCTATCTATAGAACAAACTTCAACCTTCAGTATCCTCCAAAAAAATTCCATACAAAAACTACAGCGACACTTTGCTCCACCGTGACACCTCCACGACTTTCCATATTCTAATACCAACTTCCATCAATTTCCAAACCTTTAAAACACAACATTCATACCCCACACAAACTTCAAAAATCGAAAAAAATTAGAGCTACATCAACAAATTCAACAACGCCGACAATTTAGAGTCAGTTTCACGGGAAAAAAGAAGAGAAAAATTCCAAAGAAAAATCAATAGAGGAAAAGGCACAAATTCCACACAGTAAAACTTCAACTTCGCTGCATTAGAACCACATCTACAAATACAAAACTTCAACTCACCTTAATCATCGGAGTCGGTATTCTTCGTTCCTCTCTGCATTTTCTTATCAGTATCATAACTTGTAACATCTGTTTTGCTATAGATATGAATATGTACTTGTGTGCATCCTTTGGTTTTTATAGTTATTTTATTTTCTATTGAGTCGTGAGTAACCGAGAAATTGAAAATCGGCTAAGAGTTTTTTTGTTTTCGAAGCATGGACTGAAAAAGGGGTATAATCGGACAGAGGGAGTTTTTTTTCCGGAAGATATGTTTGAATTTTGTTTCGAAATCAGGATAAAGATGATGGAAGCCATAAGATGAGAGAAACAAAGTTTATAATTTGAGAGGAACAAAGTTTAGAAATCGAGAGAGTAAGAGACTCGATTGAGAGAAGGAAGGAGAAGTTTGTTTTTTTTTTTGTTTCGGTATAGCAAAGAAGTTTACGCTTGAGAGATTTGTAGCATGTGAGAGAGATTAATTTGATAATTCAATATGCAGTTAAGAGAAATTATAGGGAACCCAAGTTTTAAGCATGACTTTTCCTCTTCCCAATACAAGCAGCCGCGGCGCTACTTTTCCCCTAGGGTTTTCAAAAATTTCCTTGCCCCTTCTCCCAAACCGGGTCAGCCCTTTGGGCCTTTTAGCCCAATCCGATTATCATCATCCCCTTTATATTTCAGTAAAGACGTAGTAATAACAAATAAGCAATACAGTTCAGTTGGTAAGACACGTTTGCAGTAACCTAGAGAACCTGAGTTCAACTCTCAGCTAGGCCAATTTTCTCTTTTTCCTTGACTCTTTAACCTTATTCCAAAAAATTAGTAAATTTTAGTTTAGTAAACTTTAGAATTTTATTTTATTTTAGTATTATTTTAGTAACTTTAGGATTTTATTTCATTTAGATTTGACTTAGTAAACTTTAGAATTTTATTTTGTTTTAGTATTATTTTAGTAACTTTAGGATTTTATTTTATTTAGATTTGACTTAGTAAACTTTAGAATTTTATTTTGTTTTAGTTTTGTTTTAGTAACTTTAGGATTTTATTTCATTTAGATTTTGACTTAGTAAACTTTAGAATTTTATTTTGTTTTAGTTTTATTTTAGTAGCTTTAGGATTTTATTTCATTTAGATTTGACTTAGTAAATTTTAGAATTTTATTTGTTTTAGTTTTAATTTAGTAAACTTTAGAATTTTATTTGATTTTATTTAAGTTAACTTTAGAATTTTAGTTGTTAGTTTTAGTTTAGGGACTTTAGAACTTTATTTGATTTAGAATTAGTTTAATGAGTTTATAATTTTTATTTGATTTAGAATTAGTTTAATAAGTTTAGAATTTTAGTTGTTTAGAATTAGTTTAATATTCTTTTAGAATTTTATTTGATTTAGATTTAGTTTAGTAACTTTGGAACTTTTTTTTTTGTTTTAGATTAGCAACCTTGGAATTTTTATTTAGTTTAGATTTAATTTACTAATTTTAAAATTTTTAATCTAGTTTAGATTTAACTTAGTAATTTTAGAATTCTAATTTATTTTAGATTTAATTTATTAACTTTAGAATTTTAAGTTAGTAATTTTATAATTTTAATTTAGTTTTAGTTATTAACTTTAAAATCTTGTTTAGTTTAGTTAGAAACTTTAGAATTTAAGTTTAGTTTACTTAGTAACCTTAGAATTTCAAAATTAGTTTAGATAACCCTCTAATTACATTTTCCTTTTATTCATGATTCTTCTTTGTACGTTTATTTAGTTTCTTATAGTTTATCTTATCACTATTCTCCTTGTTTGTTTCTTTTGGATTTTTAATTACTTATATATGATTCTTGCTCGATTACTAGACCTACTTGCTTATGATCAACTCCAAGGGAAAGAATTAAATTTGTTGACTTCATGTCATCAAATATATCTTACACGATCGAGCGAATACCCCCATTCATTAAAAACATAGGATAATTTTCCCAAATATCCAATTTCTTCAGAAACTCATACCTTTTAAGTTAAAACTTCGACATTAGGTCTTCGTATCTTCAAAAACTCGTCCATACCCATCTTCGGCCAAAACAATTTATTTTTAATCAAACGAACATTTTAATAAACAGATATTTCAAAAGGTTCCTATAGAATACTATAGATACATTGGGTGCTAATACCTTACCATTGTATAACCAACCCCCGAACCATAGACCTCTTTTCAAAAACGCCTTGTATTTTCATTACTTTTAAAAGTATTATTTTACATTGCATACTTTAGGGTTTTATTTCGCTCTTTTCCCTTTTCCCTTGGAAATAATAAAGCGCGGTGGCGACTCTTGCTTTTGTGAGACGAATTAATTAATAATTCGATCTCCAATTTACCCCGCTACATTTTTTATCGCTACAAAAATGGCGACTCTGCTGGGGACAGATTGACCTCTTGCTGGTCCATCCCTAAGTGGGTTAAGCCTAGTTTGTTTTATCTGTTTTATTATTATTTGTTTTGTTTGATTATGTGTTTATATTGGGGTTGTTTGGGTTTTTTGCAAAGGACGAATCCTATACCCGGATTAAGTTACACTTAAGAATAGGACGGGCGGTATAGTCATGTTAACTTTGAGGGAGTAATCCCGAAGAAGGAGGCATGAGATCCCCCACTCAATGGAAGGCCCTTTTGAACGTAATATTTGTTTACCGAGTAATCGGGAAGACATTATTATTTTCGACCTGGGAGCCAGAGAAATTGAGAACCATAGAACCCTAACCCATCTTGGCCTTTTTAGGTGTAGCGCGGAGACTATAACGGAGTAATTCAGAAGTAGTTGTTACGCGATGCTACGCTCGGATGAGTTTCTCTTGAGAATATTGCTAATTATTGAGTAATCAAGACTTTGGTAATATCCGAAGGAGGAATGTAGACTCTGGGAACTCTTAGAACCTTGTCTTACAGGTGTGATTAAACTGTTAGTACATACCTTGGGGTGGGCTTTACCCTTGACTCCATGCTCGAAATGTTGAACCTTTGAACCCCATATTTGTGAACTTGTGTGTAACTGTTGCATTATCATTCATCCATACATCCATAAACATTTTTTGTAAAAAAACTTATTTTTCAAGGAACTTAAGAATGATTTTGCGGACATCTCAGGTACTATTATTATGGAATTTAGAAGGAGAAACACTCGAAGTTTTAGTTTTAAGGAGCCCGAGATTGAAGAACTGAAGAGTTTAATTCCTAAAATAAAGAACCCGGCGGATTTTCAGAAAAAGTATGGGTCCATTATACCTCTCATGAAGCGCAAGATGAAGGAAGGCATCCTTGGTACGTTGGTCCAATTTTACGATCCTTTGTACCGATGCTTCACCTTTCCGGATTACCAGTTAATTCCCACCTTAGAAGAGTACTCCTACATACTTGGTTTGCCGATCACCGACTGTGTTCCTTTTTCTGGCTTAGAAGAGGAACCCAAATCCCACGAGATAGCGACCATCACCCACTTGAAGAAGTCAGAGATAGAGGAGAACATGACTACAAAAGGGGGAATCTGAGGCTTGTCTGCGCAGTTTTTGTTGAGGAAAGCTCGTCATTTCGCTGAGATAAAAGATACTATTGCCTTTGAAGACGTCTTTGCTTTACTCGCTTATGGTCTATTCTTGTTCCCTAACATTGATAAGTTTGTGGATATCAACGTCATCAGAATTTTCTTGATTGGAAATCCGGTCCCTACGCTGCTAGGAGATACCTACTACTCCATCCATCTTCGAAACTCTTATCAAGGAGGGATGATTATTTGTTGTGCACAGTTGCTGTATCAGTGATATGTTTCTCATCTACCTAGGTCTGATGTTTTCTGGGATCTCGAGAAGGAGCCGCGATGGGCGCCAAAAATTATGGCTCTCACTCATTTCGATATTGATTGGTATAATCGAGTTTACTATGACATGAAGATCATCGATAGTTGTGGTGCTTTTCCTAACGTGCCTCTTCTTGGTACGAAAGGTGGAATTAACTATAATCATGTTCTCGCGCGCCGTCAGTTTGGATACCCGATGAGGGACAAGCCAAACAACATCCATGTGAGCGGTTTCTTTCTACAAGAAGGACAAGATCACCAGGCAGCTAAGAGGGAGATCGAAGGAGCTTGGTGCCACATCCATAGGAAAGGGAGAGACATGTTAGGACATAGGGGTGCCGTTTCTTTGGAGCCTTACCTACAATGGGTCCGTGCTAGGGCTTGTGCTCTCAAGATGCCCTATAAACCTGAGGAACCTTTATTCCCTACCGTTGCATCATCATCTGTTGATATCCCTATCGAGAATATGGGAGAATACCAAGGAAATCTGGCTAGGATGAAGTCCGAGAGAGATGCTTGGAAAGAAAAGTATAATATGTCTGAATATGAGAATCAGGTCCTGGCTCGACAACTAAAGGAAAATGAGGATTTGCTATTTATTCAAGATGGCTGGTTCATTGA